AAAGATGGTCAGCCTCAGAATCATGCCCAACACTTCATTTCTGGACAGAGGTCGCAGCAGGGCGTCCCGCGGGAGATCTTTCAGCAACATCTCTGCTGGAGGAGGTCAGTCCATCGGCTGGAGGAAGGGGACAGAGAGAATAAGTTCACTGAGAAGAACTACACCTGCACACTCGTCTGTGTTGGATATGGTGTGTGTGCTTCTCAAACTTTGTTCAGTAGTGTTCCCCCTTTGAAACATTTTCTCAGCCAAGTACCCCCTGACCGACCCCGGACATTTTTGACAGAAAAAGCCTATTTAAATAATTACAATAGAGTGATGTTCCCTCAGTGTTTGATGTATTCAAAAAGATTTTTCCAAGGAGTTTTTCAATTGAATTAATATGTTTAACAAACCAATGAACAAAATGATATATTATTAAAAACTATAAATACAATACACAAATGTAACATGTTTATATGAGGACCCCCTTAGTGGTTCTAGGAATATTTTATATACAATTGTATTTTCCATTTAACTTATTGTACTAAGATTATTTTTGTAATCATGCATGGTCTTTTTTTAATTAACTTTCTTTTTTTTTTTTACCTCATGTACCCCCTGCAGTACCCCAACGTACCCCTAGGGGTCCGCGTACCCCCATTTGAGAATCACTGCTATATGCGACGTGTGTTGTTTGCATTTTATTGTTCTCTTTTATCCTTTGGCCTCGATCTACTTCATCCTTTCTGTTTCTAATGCGTATTAGTGATGGATTGTGATTTTAAAAATGACCATCATCTGGCCGGGGACAACAGCTGGAAATGAGCAATGTTGGATAACGCTGCCCCATCTACTGTTCTTTGTGACAGTTGATCAATGGGGACTGTCCACGACACTATAAACAAATAAACTAAACTAAGAAGAATTCAGACGGACACATAAACAAGAACGTAAGGTTGAGTAAATAGCCATCAGGTTTGCAAAGTAATTCTGTCTGGGCGTGTACTGACGTGAACTATAATCCCATATTGCTTGAATTGACAAATAACACCATAAAATGTCCTCCTGTATTAAAACGTCATATTTCAGGTTAAAAATCAAATGTTGTCCTGAAATAAAATACGCATCTGAATGGCGATGAGGAGATTGAACCAAATCATTTTCGAGATATGTCGAGAATGTTACATAAAACACAGACGCGTGTTTTTTGCATGTGGCCTTCCACTTTGTGGCATGATGGGGGGAAACATTACGTTATCACATTTTTGGTAGATACTAAAATGCTTTAAAAAGCTTTGTATATGTAGTCTTCCAACATGTCACCTATTCTCCCAAAGAAGCCATATGCATCCTGTCTGTGAGTGTTAGTCTGTTTTTAGAAGCTCTCCTTTGTTTCTACTTTTCTCACAACTCCTTTTATTGTGCAATACTTTAACCTGCACTCACATCTGCACACGTATGTAATATATTTAACAATCCAAATATGTATATATGTCCATTCAAATGGTCCATGTTTACTGTGATATCTTGTTTCAACAGTTACTCTATCACTTTATTTTAAATGTTTGTATTATTTTTACACGTCTGAATTTCCCCACAGGGATAAATAATCTAATCTTATCTTATATGAAACAAGGCCTGTTGTTAGACTTAGGATGATGGGCAACAAATGACATTTCATATAACTTTATCACATTATTGGTAGATACTAAAACGCTTTAAAATAAAGCTTTTTATAAACAATATTAAAGATTACATAAACAGATATATCAGTCCCAAAATTGTCACACCAGTTCTCCTTAAGTTTTGCCATGTTAAAAACAGTATGCAAATGTGGCCGGTTAGCTCAGTTGGTTAGAGCGTGGTGCTAATAAAGCCAAAGTCGCGAGTTCGATACCCGTACTGGCCAAGCATTGATTTTGAAGCGGTGGTTTGAGGAGACTTGCACTGGAAACTGGAGGGTTGCTGGGTCGAGTCCCGATGCGAACAACACTGCCGAATTGCTCAATTTAACACATGACATAGCGCTTGCCGAATTAAAGAGTAATATGGGATGATAAAATAAGATGTACTTTATTAATCCCAATTCGGGGGAAACATTTTTTGCAGCAGCATAACACAAAGCAAGGCGTTGCAAATAATAACAAATTAAAAGAGTAGAAATAAACAATTCTAAAATAGAAACATCTCAAAATAGAAATAGAAACAAACCAGCATTAGAGAGTAAGAAAGATATACTGATGACCGTTCAGATAACACATCTATAAACTGACTGACAAATAAAAACACTATTGGAGGGCCATTATATGGTTGAAACAAGTATTTTGAGGTATGGACTTTAATATATTTAAAGAAAAGTATTAAATGTTCACTTTTCTGAATGGAGGTTAGTCGCTGGTCTCCATGGTAATAAACCAGACCTTTAGTCAGAATCAGAAATAGGTTTATTGCGGAGTAGGTTTACATATAAGAGCCTTGGTGTATACAGTCAAAGCCATAACATAACAATGCTAAAAAACTATTTTACTATAAACTATAATAACTTTAAAATATAGCAATATTTACATGGATTACCAGAACAATAACATTAGAGTAAATCGAATAAAAATATGTGCAGTATTGTATGACAGGGGGAAAGACGTGCGGGTATAAGAGGTAGCTTTGCAGCAGTTTGCAGTTACTGTCAGAATCCACTCATAAAGCTACATTACAGGTCATTTACAAACCAAAACAAGCCAGTAGTTTACGATTAAGTAGAGATAGAGTTAGTGTTTATCCATGATTTACTACCAAGAAAAACATCCTTTTGATTCACCAGTTAGCATCTCTGAAGCTAACACAGCTGCACCTAGCAACGGCCAAACGGTCACTTTAGCCGTTTGGCATTTTGATTAAAACCCCAGGCTGAATAAAACACTTTACACACACTCCGTATGCTGTCTCACACACATTAACACTTAACTCGTAAGGAAAAAAAGACATTAATTATACTCACTGAAGACGGGAATCAAATACCAAAACACTGGCATTAACGGTGCATCATGTTTAGTAACTCGGGTAGGAACAAACACTTTAGTTCCGGGATTTGTTCGTTCCACCTTTTCTTCCTCTCCGCCACAATTCAACAGCTTTAACATCTGATATAATAAAATACTGATCCCTGGTGTTCATAGCAAAGAATGAAAGGTACAAAATGGTGTTATGCAAACATTTGATTTAAAAATATTTAGGAGGTTTAAAACTGGTATTATTTCAACATATGAAAAGGTGTGCAATGTGATGCTTAGCAAACTCAAAAAAAAATCAGGTCCAGACTTATGATACAGTTGTTTTCGGTAGTATTGGTTAAATATATTAGTTTAACCTTAACCAATGCTGATTTAATTCTTTAAATCAGCAAATTCTTTAATTAAGACTTTCTGCACAGATCTCTCTCAAATAGATTTAGAAAACAATACTGGAACGCCTTTTAAACAACAAAGTATTTATGACAAAATTAAGTGAAAATGCTATCAGAGTTTAAATTGTAAATGTTTTCGATTGTAGTTTTTTTTAAAGCATAGGCTAGAGGCAAGATCAATCCAGACATTACTTTAATGTCCACGTTTGCTTCTTGAGTGATAAATGGACTGCATTTATTATTTTCTTAGTGAACATTCAAAGTGCTTTACAACACAAGAAGCCACTGTTTCACACACATGCACACACATGCACACACCTGTGGCGGAGGCAACCACACAAGGTGCAACCTGCTCTTCAGGATGCATGAGAAAACTAAAACAGAGTGTCATATGGAAACTTAAGGGACAGCATGACATAGTAATAGCAAGGAGTGCATGGAAAAATACCAACAAATAACCAATAGCCAATCTGCATCAAGGCAAGGAGAGTATAAAACATTTTGAGGTGAGGCATCAAATCATTCCCTTCATCCATCACCGGTACAGACGCTCTCCTTTCACTCACATCACAGGTGAGATCAGAAACCTTCACTCACTGTTAGATCAAATATATAGACTTCTAATTATTTGAACATTTCTTCAAGTCCCCATTGACTCTAATAATTTGAATCACAGCAGCGATGGCAGCAGCAGTTTCATCCAGAAGCAGAGGAGCAGCGGGGAGGCTGTTCTTCCTCTTCACTCTGCTGGGTCTGGTTTGCACCGCAGCTTCACGGATTGATGAGAACAAACTGGTAAATAAATAGTGACTTAACTTCCGTTTCTATTGGAAACAAATCCACATTTTCTTTCAGTTGCTCTTAAAACATTTTGTAATTCTGCCGGCTCAGGCACCAAAGTGCGGCTACTTAAGAGCTGCTTTTATGTTCCCAAATACAACTGGTCATTTTCATGATAGATTTTTTTTTTAAAGAAAATGTTCAAGGAATTACTTCAGGAAGCAGAACAAGCCCTGGACATAGTGAAGGTGAGTTCATGCGTCACATCAATTATTTGGAGTAACTGACAGGCTGAGAGAAGTTGGCCTTGTTCAGAAGGGACTTTATGCACTACAGTGAAGTCTGTTTGTTCCCACATTAGGCACAAAGCGACACCGACTTTGAGCTCCTTTATGGATGGATGATGGATAATGTGGAGTCCCATGAAGAGATTTTGAAATTCGAAAAGTATCTGAGAGCACACAAGACATTTCTCCAAGCCCTGGAGGAGTACCATGCTGAATTGTAACCTCCATGTCAACCAGTGATACTGCATCTATTGTATCTGGGAGGTTTCCATTTCTCACTGAGCTGCTCCATCTTAACTTTGCAATACACTGGCTTAGAAATCATGAATTTCTGTAATTGAAAATAGGTTATCGATAATAGGTTTGTTGACCTGCAACTGTAAATGAATAAATGTACAGTTCAAATCTAATATATTCAATGTTGTTGCTCAAAATAATAAAAACAATGATTGTATAACATGTCTTTGTACAGTGTGTCTTTCCTGACTAGGAGTTATTCCTTGTATTTTCCAGCTAAATCAAAATGTGTGCTGTGAGAGAGGTCGCCGCCAACAGGTTTAACACTTATTTGATCAAATACTGCCCCCTGGTGGTCACAGTAGTATGCAAACTTAAAACGGGTGTGTCAGGTGGGAAAAGGAATAACCTGTCCTGCATTAAATATCAGGTCCACACTTATGATACAGATGTTTTCTGTAGCATTGGTTAAATATAATTATTTAACCTGAACCAATGCTGATTTAATTCTAAGACTTGCTGCACGCATCTCTCTCAAATATATTTAGTACAAATATTGGAACGCCTTTAAACAACAAAGTATTAAAGGGAAAATGAAGTGGAAGATAAATAAAGATATACTCGTGTGCTTATTGAGTGATAAATGGACCTTTCTTATTCCTCTTCAAAGCGCAATCAGCCATTCACTGTTTCACACACATGCACACACCTGTGGCAGAGGAGGCAACCACACAAGGGGCAACCTGCTCATCAGGAGAAATGAACTTCACACACCCATCAGGAAATTTGCCTGAGAAAACTAAATCTGTTGTGGCTGTTTTCTGGCCCCACAACTTGGAGATGTCACGTATTATTCCTATGGAAGTAAAACTAAAACAGAGCGTCATGTAGGAACAAAGGACTTTCTGCCCTGCATGTCATCACATTCTCATAGACAAGTAACGCTGGTGTGTTCTTGTAAAGAGAAACTCCAAAATACTAGTTATATGAAAGGGAAACTTAAGAGACAGCATGACGTAGTAGAAATACCAAGGAGTGCATGCAAACATACCAACAGCATCAAGGCACACAGGTCACAGGAAGGAGAGTATAAAACATTTTGAGGGGAGGCATCAAATCATTCCCTTCATCCGTCACCGGTACAGACGCTCTCCTCTCACTCACATCACAGGTGAGATCAGAAACCTTCACTCACTGTTAGATCAAATCTAAGTCCCCATTGACTGTAATCATTTGAATCCCAGCAGCGATGGCAGCAACAGTTTTATGGAATTAGATTTGTGTCATTAACATTTGTGGTATCAGCTTCCAGTTTGTGTTCGGGCGGCAGACAGCCATCCGTTTTTTAAGAGTATGCTTAAGACCTTCCTTTTTGATAAAGCTTATAGTGATCAAATAAAATAATCTAATAAGAGTGCATTGACGTAGACACGTTGTGCCTCTTCACCTATACTTTGTATATCTTACTCTTTCACTTAAATCCTAAAAACTTAGATCTTATATTTAAAACTTTATCCAACCTTTCCCCTCTCTGACCTCTCGAGGTTTATTAGAGGTTGCAGAGAAGGCCTAGCCCGGCCCGGGAGTGTGGAACGTAGCCACTGACCCACTCCTACCTCTGACCAATTCAGGTTCCAATGGGGACCTCTCTCCCTGCGTGACTCTCCACCTCCGTTTCCTACTTCTTACTTGCTACCGTTTTCCCTCAACCCAGGGGCAGACTGGCCATTGGGAATACCGGGAGTTTCCCCGGTGGGCCGGTGCTGTGTGTGGGCTGGAGGGCCAACATTTTTATTTATTTTTTAAAGTTTTTAAAAATAAATAAATAAATCTTCTTTTTTTTCCTAAATCCTACCGGCCCACATTTGTAAGTGTTCCGGCCCAGCCCAGTGGGGTGTGGCCAGGGTTGGGTTGTAACGGAATACATGTAACGGCGTTACGTAATCAGAATACAAAAATCAAGTAACTGTATTCCGCTCGCGTTACATTTGAAAAACGAGTAATCTGATTACAGTTACTTTCGTAAACCTGAAGTGAATACATTTTGGATTACTTATTGGAATTATTGGTGGAAAGATTTCCTCACAACATTTAATATTCATTACTAAAGGTACAGCCGAATCATCACAGCGCACAAAACCGCGCAGATGGACCAAAAAGGGGAGCGTTTGAAAAAAATGTGCGGGTCCGCTCAGTGAAACAATAACAACGTAACATGGAGGAACACAAGTCTGCGTTTAAATCGTGTGTGTGCAGGGCCGCCTTAATGCACGGGCTGACCTGGGCTAAAGCCCAGGGGCCTACGGAGATCAGGGGCCTATCATGAGCCAATAAAACAGTTTTAATTTTTTTTTAAATAAATAAAAGTTTTTTATTTCGGATGTTTTTAAAAAACATTTAAATAAACAAAGTCTTGGCTTTCAGAATATGAAACTTTTATTTCCAAAATCACACGATAAATACATTTTTGAAGCTTGTAAAGGGAAGATGACAGCTCTCACTCGCCACTCACTCCCCCTCCCTCCGGCGGAAATTATGAATGTAAGGGGTATAGTAATCATAGATAACACGGCAGGGTCCATTACAGTTTGTTTTCATCTGGTTTCAAATAAACAAAGTCTTGGCTTTCAGAATATTAAACTTGTTTCGGCAAATTCAGATGATAAATACAACTTTGAAGCTTCGGCATAATTACAAGCGGAGAACGGAGTAACTTGACGTCACAGCAGGCATAACAACAGCCGGTGTTTCTCGTGAGTGTTTTCCCCGGGAAACAAACACAAACACACACGTATACACACACACACACACAAGCTTCCCCTAGACCATTCACTGTTTCACACACATGCACACACCTGTGGCGGAGGCAACCACACAAGGTGCAACCTGCTCTTCAGGATGCATGAGAAAACTTCAACATGTATTATTCCTGTGAAACTAAAACAGAGTGTCATATGGAAACTTAAGGGACAGCATGACATAGTAATACCAAGGAGTGCATGGAAAAATACCAACAAATAACCAATAGCCAATCTGCATCAAGGCAAGGAGAGTATAAAACATTTTGAGGTGAGGCATCAAATCATTCCCTTCATCCATCACCGGTACAGACGCTCTCCTTTCACTCACATCACAGGTGAGATCAGAAACCTTCACTCACTATTAGATCAAATATATAGACCTCTAATTATTTGAACATTTCTTCAAGTCCCCATTGACTCTAATCATTTGAATCACAGCAGCGATGGCAGCAGCAGTTTCATCCAGAAGCAGAGGATCAGCGGGGAGGCTGTTCTTCCTCTTCACTCTGCTGGGTCTGGTTTGCACCGCAGCTTCACGGATTGATGAGAACAAACTGGTAAATAAATAGTGACTTAACTTCCGTTTCTATTGGAAACAAATCCACATTTTCTTTCAGTTGCTCTTAAAACATTTTGTAATTCTGCCGGCTCAGGCACCAAAGTGCGGCTACTTAAGAGCTGCTTTTATGTTCCCAAATACAACTGGTCATTTTCATGATGGATTTTTGTTTTAAAGAAAATGTTCAAGGAATTACTTCAGGAAGCAGAACAAGCCCTGGACATAGTGAAGGTGAGTTCATGCGTCACATCAATTATTTGGAGTAACTGACAGGCTGAGAGAAGTTGGCCTTGTTCAGAAGGGACTTTATGCACTACAGTGAAGTCTGTTTGTTCCCACATTAGGCACAAAGCGACACCGACTTTGAGCTCCTTTATGGATGGATGATGGATAATGTGGAGTCCCATGAAGAGATTTTGAAATTCGAAAAGTATCTGAGAGCACACAAGACATTTCTCCAAGCCCTGGAGGAGTACCATGCTGAATTGTAACCTCCATGTCAACCAGTGATACTGCATCTATTGTATCTGGGAGGTTTCCATTTCTCACTGAGCTGCTCCATCTTAACTTTGCAATACACTGGCTTAGAAATCATGAATTTCTGTAATTGAAAATAGGTTATCGATAATAGGTTTGTTGACCTGCAACTGTAAATGAATAAATGTACAGTTCAAATCTAATATATTCAATGTTGTTGCTCAAAATAATAAAAACAATGATTGTATAACATGTCTTTGTACAGTGTGTCTTTCCTGACTATGAGTTATTCCTTGTATTTTCCTATGGTATTTTCCAGCGAAGTCAAAATGTGTGCTGTGAGAGAGGTCGCCGCCAACAGGTTTAACACTTATTTGATCAAATACTGCCCCCTGGTGGTCACAGTAGTATGCAAACCTAAAAAGGGTGTGTCAGGTGGGAAAAGGAATAACCTGTCCTGCATTAAATATGACGTCCACACTTATGATACAGATGTTTTCTGTAGCATTGGTTAAATATAATTATTTAACCTGAACCAATGCTGATTTAAGGCGAGACACCCCAGGTTAATAGGGTAATTTTTTTTAACTTAAAGGTATCAGCTAGAAATGTATCCAGTTAATTACTTACAATAAGGCAATTGTCTTTTGTATTACAAGTTTTCTGAAATAGCATGTTTAAATATGCAAATGCCCATTATCTCATTAAATATGCACATATTTTAACACATTTCAGGAATCGAAATCTGAACTTTGGATATAGCCAGATTCAAAATTATTGTTTCATTTTGTAGTCATATTAGTATCTAAGGCTTTTACAGAAGGGATATTGGATATCTCTTTTTATCACTCCATAAATCAGAAAATACTGTCAACAGCCCTAAAATATCCATTTTCGCCATGTTTTTAGGTATACAATGTTGTATAATTCAGGCTATGAATTATATATGAACAAACTTTTAGCACACCACGTGACGCATCTGAACGAATCACGTTGTCAGAAATTGACACCAGCCAATGAGATTTCGTTTCTTGGTTTAAGACCCCTTTGTGCTTTCACGATTGGTTGCTGATACAAAGGAAATGACCATATTTGGATCCGATGAGTTTGTGCGGGAGAGACACAGCTTTCCAGCGATACCTCTGTTGACATGGTGCACACAGCGGTCGCGGTACTTTATGTTACGTTAGAATGCTAACTTTTGGTGAATTAGGAGAAATCTACAGACGCAAATAGACAAACTATAGTAAAATAAACACTTAAATGTGTATTTTGTACG